TGGATTGTCCCCTTAATTTATAATATTATATAGTGTCCTTTTTGTCTCCTGTTCCAGTCTTTGTTTTAAAGTCTATTTTGTCTGATATCAGTATTTTTACTCTGGCTTTCTTTTGAGATTCATTTGCATGATAGATGTTTTTCCATCCCCTCACTTTCAATCTGCCGGTGTCTTTTGGTCTGAAATGAATCTCTTGTAGGCAGCATATAGATAGGTATTGTCTTTTTATCCATTCTGTCACCCTGTGTCTTTTGATTGGAGTGTTCATTCAGAGTGATGATGATGATGGTGATGATGATGATGATTACTATTTTTTAGAGAGAGAGAGAGAGAGAGAGAAAGAGAAAGAAAGTGGGGGAGAGTGGCAGACAGAATCTTAAGCAGGCTCCATGCTTAGCATGGAGCCAGATGCGGGGCTCATTCCCACAACTTTGGGATCATGACCTGAGCCTAAATCAAGGGTCAGACGGTCAACTGACTGAGCCACCCAGAAGCCTTGCACAGAGTAATTATTAATAGGTGTGTATTTATTGCTCTTTTATTACATGTTTTGTGGTTTCTAAAGATTTTCTCTGATCCTTTCTTTCATGGTTTGCTGGTTTTCTTTAGTGATATATTTGGATTTCTCTTTATTCTTTGCATATTTATTAATGATTTTTGATTTGTGGTTACCATTAGGTTTGTATATAACATCTTTTGCATATAGCAGCCTGTATTAAGTTGATGGTTGTTTAAGTTTGAACCCATTCTTTGTTCCTCTTCTCCCCACATTTTCGGTATATGTTATTACATTTTATATCCTTTTATTTTGTGAGTTCCTTGACTGATTTCTTTACAGAAGTATTCAGTTTTACAGCTTTGTGTATCCTACCTTCATAGTGTCATTTTTGATCTTTCCACTCAGAGTCCTCTTTAATATTTTTTGCAGGGCTGGTTTAGTGGTCATGAACTCTTTTTGTTTGTCTAGGAGACTCTTTATCTCTCCTGTTCTGAATGATAGCCTTACTGGATAGTGTTTCTTGGTTGCAGGTTTTCCTCGTTCAACACTTTGAATATATCATGCCACTCCTTTCTGGCTTGGAAAGTTTCTGCTGAAAAATCTGCTGATAGCCTTATGGGGTTTCCTTTGTATGTAATTGTCTTTTTTTTCTTTTTCATGCTGCTTTTAACATTCTTTTTCTTTATTACTATATTTTGCCATTTTAATTACAATATGTCTGGGTGTGGGTCTGCTTTTGTTAATTTTGTTGAGGGTTCTCTGTGCCTCCTGGATCTGACTATCTGTTTCCTTCTCAGATTAGGAAAGTTTTCAGCTATTATTTCTTCAAATAAATTCTGTCTCCTTTTTTCTGTCTTCTTCTGAGACTCCTATAATGTGAATGTTACTGCCGTTTGATGTAGTCACAGAGTTTGCTAGGTCTGTTCTCATTTTGTATAATCCTCCTTTCTTTTGTTTGTTCAGCTTGATCACTTTCCATTGTTCTGTCTTCTAGGCCATTAATTCGTTCCTCTGCATCTGCCAGCCTGCTGTTCATTCCATTAGGCGTGTTTCTTATTTTATTTATTGATCCCTTTATCTCTGCAGTTAGTCCTTATCTCTGTGTTAATGGTCTCACCGAGGTCCTCTACTCTTTTCTCAAATCCAGTGAGTATCCTTATGATCACTGCTTTAAGTTCTCTATCAGGCATTACTTCTGTCTGTTTTGCTTAGATCTCCTGCTGTGGCCTTGTCCTGTTCTTTCATCTGGGAGAGATTCCTCTGTCTTCTCATTTTGTCTAAGTCCCTGTGCCTGTCTCTCTGTGTTAGGAAAGTCAGCTGTGTCTCCTGTTCTTGAGGGTAATGGCTTTATTTAGAAGAGGTCCTGTAGTGCCTTGCAGTGTAGTGTCCCTTGTTCCCCCAGGGTCTGGTGCTTCAGGGGGTGTCTCCAATGTGTGCTGTGTGTGCTTTGCTTTTTTGCAAGCCAGTTGTCTGCAGAGGGTCTCTTTGTTGGTAGGCAGTGTTTGGTCCCTAGCCTGAACGTGACTGAGTTTTAACTAGGTGTGTTCTGGTCTGTTTGTGAAATGTGTCCTTTTGCCACCGCCAAGGGAGCCAAGGCCCTGCGAAACTTGGGGCTCCGCTGTGCTGGGACTGAAGCAGGTGTGACTGGGAGGGCAGTTGTACTGGAGTGCAGAGGGTGGGGGCTTAGTGTAAGCAAGTTAGGTAGTATTGGTGCTGCTTCCCGCAGGTGGCCCTGTGCTTATGCTGAAGTGGTGGGGAGGGAAATGGCACTGGCCAGGGATTTCTCCATGAATGCTGTTTCTCAGCAATGCCCTGTGAGATGAGCAAATACACTCCCCACTGTGTACCCCATGCACTCTTCAGGTCACTGTTTCCACACTGTATGTCTGTGGACTGTTTGCCCTGCCTTTTCTCTAAGAGCAGCCCCGATGTCCTCCCAGCGCTCCCAGAGCCAAGTATGCTGACCTTTAAAACTCCAGGCTAAAAACCCTGCTGGTTGCAAGAACTTAAGAAATTCAGGCCCTTGTGCTCTCCAAGCCAGTTACTATGGGGATTCCTTTTCCCTATGCACTCCTCTGTGGCTAGTTTGTCTCTGTCTCTTGCCCTTCTTCACGACCCTGGCTCCCTCCCCATCACAGTGGTCATAATCCATTTCTTGCCCAAACCACATCTCCGCACTTCCTTTCTTCTTTGATGTGGCCTCTTTTCTATCCTTAGTTGTGGAGTTTGTTCTGCTAGTCTTCAAGTCAATTTCTAGGGTATTTAGAATGATTTGATAGTTATCTAGTTATATTTGTGGGATGATGAGAGCATAGGGTCCTCCTATTCCCTCGGCATCTTCCTTCCCCTGGAATTGAAACTCTTAAGAGTTTGTAACTCTTTGTATATGAAGTTTGTGATTTGATAGGAAATAAGTATCTTCTTGACTTTTTAAAGCATTGGGCATGTTTAAAATTTGTTTTTAATTTGGGTATAGTTGACATACAATGTTATATTAGTTTCAGGTGTTTAACATAGTGATTCAACTTCTCTGTATGTTATACTATGCTCACAATGTGTGTAGCTACTGTCTACAGACCATACAGTGCTATTACAGTATTATTTACTATATTTTCTAGGCTGTACCTTCTGTTTATGTAACTTATTCATTCCATAACTGGAAACCTGTATCTCCTACTCCCCTTCACCCATTTTGCCCATCCCCTCTTCCCGTGCCCGTCAGTTCCCTCTGGCAACCATCAGTTTCTTCTCTGTATTTATAGGTTAGATTCTGGTTTTTGTTTATTAATTTGTTTTTTAGATTCCACATATGAGTGAAAGCATATGGTATTTTCAGCATTGGGCATTTGTTTTTTTTTGTTTTTTTTTTTTTTTTTTTTTTTTTTTTTTTTTTTTTTTTTTTTTTTTTTTTTTTTTTTTTTTTTTTTTTATTTTACGTTTATTTATTTTTGAGAGACAGAGAGAGATAGAGCACAAGTGGGAGAGGGGCAGAAAGAGAAGGAGACACAGAATCCAAAGCAGGCTCCAGGCTCCGAGGTGTCAGCACAGAGCCCGACGCAGGGCACGAACCCACAAACTGAGAGATCATGACCTGAGCCGAAGTCAGACGCTCAACCGACTGAGCCACCCAGGCGCCCCAGCATTGGGCATTTGTAAAAGAAAAACTCACTTCCCCTGTGTGTTTCTTAGTAACTCACACTATTATCACACTCACGGCACTTTTGACACCAGGTATGGGGGTTTTTCCCCACACCAAGTAATTTTCTGTGACACCAGCTGAGTGTCCTGCAGTTTAATTCAACACTGACTCTCTTTATCTGGAGTTGAGATCAGATATTGCATGGTAAGGGCTCAGTTCTATAAGACTGCCCCTCTCCCTCTATGTGCTTCAGATGCCACTTGCAAGTCTCAAGTTGTCACCTGTACTTCTGACCAACTGGCTATAAATTGGGGTTCTCATGAACCTCTCCTTGGGTTTGACAGTTTGCTAGAATGGCTCATAGAACTCAGGGGAACATACTTGCTAGTTTATTATAAAATAATGTAATAAAGGATACAGAGGACTATTCAAATGGAAGAGATAACATAGGACATGGTATGTGGTAAGGAGCATGGAGTTTCCATGCTCTTTTGAGCACACCGTTCTCCCAGCACTTCCATGTACTCACCAACTTGGCAGCTCCCTGAACACCCCCTTACTTTGAGGATTTTTATGGAGGCTTCATCAGCGTAGGGATGATGGATCATTAACTCAGTTTCTAGCCCCTCTCTGGAGAATGGGTGGCCGTGGCTGAGGGCTCCAGACTTCTAATCATGGCTTGGTCTTTCTGGTGACCAGACCTCATCTAGGTGCTCATCAAGGGTCACCTCATTTGAACAAAACACATTACTATTATCCAAGTAATTCTTCAGGTGTTACAAGCTCAGTGTCAGAAACCAGGGTCACAGACCAAATACTAGAACAAAAGATGTTCCTAGTGCTCTTATCACTTAGGAAATTACAGGGATTTTGCTCTGTGCCAGGAACTGGGGGTAGAGACAAATACATGTATTTTCCATTATCTCATAGCATTTATCTTAGAAATAAGAAAATCACACAAGAATTGCCTATTTGGTGAAGCCTATGTTATTTTTACATTTCATTTATTTTCCTTTATTCCCTACTTCATTTCTTCAAGTTGTCAAGGTGTGATGGTTAATACAGAACTTGGTTGCTTTAAATGTTTTCTTGAATTGCAGAGATACAAGTTAACCTCATCAGTCCTGCCTAATTTGGTTTCTTTTTTACATAGTATATATAATAAATGACATAAATATATATATGTATTTGTTGGGGTTCCAACTTTTGTAACGTTTGTTAGGGCTCCCTATGTCATCTGCTTAAATAAACCTGCCCGTTAAACACTCTTACCTAGGAACTTTAAGAATGAGTTGTTGTTTCTTTCGTTTCTCAAATACGGATTTTAAGTGCTGTTTTTTTGTTTTTTGTTTTTTTCTCTAGGTAGAACTGAAGTTTCCTGCACCAGGCAAGCCTGGAAATTATCAGTATACAGTGTTTCTGAGATCAGACTCTTATATGGGTTTGGATCAGATTAAACCCCTGAAGGTAATAATAGTGACTCTTCAATAAATACGGTTTCCTGTTTGAATAAGTGCTTAATATACTAGGGAAGCATTTCTAGTTTTGAAATGTAGAGTAACAGAGGGAAAAAGATGTCATCTTATACTTCATATATGATATTCTTGATGGCCTGCTCTTTCCATAATTAACTTAAGTTGTTGAGTTAAAGGAGTATAATACTTTAGAACCTTGAAAATGAATTATTAGAAGGATTTAGAATGTTAACTATAAATTACTTAAGAGATACTCTTAATATGCTTTTATATGCTATAACTTTATAGGGCCTCACCAGCTGGGTTCTTTTTTTTTTTTTTTTTTTTTTTTTTTTTTTTTTTTTTTTTTTTAGAAAAGCACATGTATTTTCCCACAGGTTCTTTGGAGTGTTTATTAATTTCTAAAACTAATTTGTTTTTTATCAGAGTATATACTTTGTGTAAGTATCATTTGAAGCACATTCCTGTCAGTGTTTACCAGTTTCCCTTGAGGTTTTTATAAAAGGCATTCTTTTGTGTAAAAGCTGTATTGAAGTATTACTGCTCTGTGTGCTGGGAGTCCCAACGTATAGGGAGCTGGTAAAGGCATGCCTGTTTTTCTCCCACGAGGATATCCTATTTCTTTCCATTGTCTACAGAATTTTATTTCAGGAAGCTGGAGGCTGCAAAAGTCACACTTGAGGTTTTCTTTCCTCAGCAGACTTCTTGAGACATACCTTGTTGTTGCTCAAGAGTCACAATTATTAATCTTCCATGCTACAGAGTAAATAGTATAGTTTCTGTAAAATTAAAATGTCAAATTGTATTAGAAATTTAATGACATTTGCATGTTAGTAGATTGCCTTTTTATTTCTGGGATGAATGTCTGTTATAAGCAAATATGTTAAATTTAGAGTTAGAACCATAAAATTATTTCTTTATAATTGTTGCAGTCAAAGAAAATCTTTTATCATATATTTCTTCACTATGCCTCCCAAATTTCTCATGTCTGCATTTAATTCTTCTTTATAGTTGGAAGTTCACGAGGCTAAGCCTGTACCGGAAAATCACCCACAGTGGGATACAGCAATAGAGGGGGATGAAGACCAGGAAGACAGCGAGGGCTTTGAAGATAGCTTTGAGGAAGAGGAAGAAGAGGAGGAAGATGATGACTAAGCAGTACTATGACTGGACCACAATATTTGCACATACTTGCAAATTTTTGCTGTTTCGGAAGTGTATAATAAACCAGAAACAGTGCAGAACTGCTGTTGAGGGAGGTATTAGTTCTTTACTCGAAATGGGTGCATAATACAACTGGGCAGTGGTGGTGCCTTGGTGCAGTCCGAAACGCTTAAGGCTTGTTAGAGCCTTTCACGTATGAATGGGATGGTGCATTTATTTCATCTGCAAACGATAATAAACCCTTTGTTATAACTGTCCAGAAGTGTGGGCTATGTATTATCCGATCATTTTATGGTCCCAGTAAAAGTAAAGGTACATGAAAACCAATCTATAAGTGAGCAACTTTTCTTTGTTTAGCTTTAGTTTGTAGCAAACATTAGAGGATGATAAACACCACACGTACGTTTTAAGTAACATCTGCTCAAGTTTTAATCTTTTGATAAGCTCTATCATTCATTTTATTGACATTTTGCAGTGATACAAAACTATTTATAACAGCTCTATTCATAGCTTTAAACTTTTTATTTTTATCTATCTTGGTCATAAGTTGGCATTCTGTCACATTCCACATAATACAGAGGGCTACATTTGGGGATTTTCCTTTTCTTAATTGCCCAGAGTTATTAGGTTATAAAAATGGCTTTTAATGGCTTAAAACATTTTTAAGCCTCTATTTTAGCAGATCAGTGCAGGATCTAATTCTTTTTATAAACTATAGGTCTAAAAACGAGTGTGGGACCATATGTTCTCTGATGTTGGTGACTCATGTTATTAAGCCTTTTTTAAAAGGTTCACTATAAAAGCTAAAATACATTCTTAGCTTTTAATCTACCTGACTCAGAAACCTTTTAAGGAAAAAAATAGATAACATGCAGTGGAGGCATTTTTTTGTATTCATTTTGGACTCCTGTCAATAAAATAGAAGTTTGACTCATTTTACATTTGTAACGTTGTGTCTTTTTACTCCCAGAGAAAGCATATAATAGGATAATTCATTCTTTTATTTTTCAACTAAAATATAATAATGTCCATTACTGCTCAAGTGGCCACTGTGTCTGTATGGCATAGAAAACCGTATGAGTGGGAGGAGTTTCCCCCTCACACATTGCAACCCCGAAGGATAGTGCTTATAGAGAGTAGAAATGTATACATGATGAATCACTGAGGTAAGATGAATATTTTTATTACTAGTTACTGAGGAAGCGTATGTCTGTAATATTACAGGACTGATTGTAATAATCCCTCTCCTATCAAAATCTCCATTGGCCAAAGTACTGTTGGAATACTGATTTGTGACCTTACTGATTTAAAAGGTTGCCACTTTCCATTCAGAATTACCACTGGTGTTTTGTTACTGCAGTAGTTGGAAATAAAATGTGAAAATTACCAAAAACATGAATGGTTTTCCTGGTTCTAAATTTAGGATGTAATATTTTCTACAGTATGTTCAAAGCGATTTCTCCATTGGAAACCCCATCACCTGTTTTTCTCTTTAAAGGTGTTAGACCCTTCCTTGGCAGGCAGAAGTGCCACTGAGGAGTTGTTTCTCTTCGCAAGTAGAGGGTTTAATTTTTGAGTTAGGTTTTGCCGGGAAGGTGAGACTGTCAGGTGAGACAGCTGCTGGTCACCTAAGTGTGGTAGAAGGCAGTGAGCCCTGCCCGTAGCATCAAGCAAAAGGAGTTGTTCAAGAAAACGTGTGAACGAACCAGTGTGTAATGTACACATGTCCTGGTTTTCTTAAAAGATAATTTTCAAGAAAGTATTTCTATTCTAGTAGCCATTTTGTCTTACAGAGGCTTTCTGTGTTTAGAGAGGATGATTTCACAACCTAAGAACTCACCATAGTACTTAAAAAAACAGCATCACCTTGACCTTAGAAAATGCCACTAGTCTGTTTTCCTTTGCCCTCTGGGTGATCTATATGTACTTCCCAACCAAGTAAGTACATTATCCTCTAATAAGTACTTTAGCTAAAAAAAAAACCCTCCATATTGCAATAGTGAAAGAACTGAGCCTTCGGTTTATGGTTCCCCCGTCTCTTCAGCAAATCTCTAAACTCCATATCCTGTCTTCTCCTGATCAAGATTTGATAACTGACCCTGGTTTGCATTAATCTAATGGAAACTCTTAGTGTAGTTTCAGTTTTGTTTTCATCAAGAAACTTTTGTCAACAGGATAATCGAGCATACAGATGAAAACTGTGTACACAAAGTGAAACATTATTTATGAAATTTATTTAAATTGTGTAGTATTTTTCTCTAAATCGGCAAAGTACCTATTAGAAGATAACTCTTCCATGAGGAGACCACACTTGAAAGTCTAGCAGTTATAAAACTTGATTGAGGCCCCATGGTGTTTGTCATGTGTGTATCCCAATCTCAAAAGTCAGATGTTCATGTCCTTTCTACAAAGTTTTTAAGTTTTCATGAATAACTTTTTAAAATTAAGGAGCACTTTGTGTGGGGTAATACCCTTACATTTCTCCCAGCTTGCACTAAGGGGTGGAGAAGGACAAGCCTGGCTTGCTGTTTTACTCTGCTGCATGGCGGGAAGCTCAGACCTTGGGTGGAAGCATTGTGGGTTGCGGGATGCCAAAGGACTGACTGATGGGGAAAAGATGTGGGAGGATGTTGAGGAATGTAATGAAACTCTCTGAGTGTATTGCTGACCATGATGTCTATCTAGTTCTTTGCTTCAACAAATCAAAACCAGATGCTGAAGTGTTCTTTCGCAACAGTTATTTCAAATGTAACTCGCAGTCTATGTATTTGAGGGGTTGTTCATCATATGTCATATTCACTGCGTTTCTATGTTTCCAGGGCAATGATTGGATACTGGGGCTATAGAAATCAAAGAATTCATGTTCTTAAGGACTCACTGGTATCAGGACAGGCAGATGTGTGGCAATCCATTCTAAACCGTTTGCATTAGCTAATGGTCATTGTTTGGGATGCCCTCCCCCCCCCCCCCCCCCCCCCCCCCCACCGCTTTTAAAGTCTTTTCCACTGTAGGCAGAGGAATTACTTTTTTAGGTACTAGCTGTTTTTTGTTTTTTGCTTTTCTTAAACAGGCAAATTGTCATCCTTTAAGTATTTCTTGAAAGCATTTTTGGCCCCAAATATTCTTACTTTATGAAACCCCCATTTAAGTTTGCCTTAAGATGAAACGGCTAACATTGAACCATAAAGTACCATTTCATTGGCTGGGTGGTGATTGGTCCTAATGTATCTTAAGTTAGTGTCAAACATCTTCACACATTTAAACTAGATATTAGGGCTATTTTGCAAAACTGTAAAAGCTATGATCTTGCACATTTTTCTGTAACTTGAGCTAAAAATCCAAATACAGCAATCCTTGGCATGCTTTAGGGCTGTGGTTTCAGGTGGGTGTGTTATATATCCCTGGGGTATGCAGATAATCAGTCCGTGGGGAAAAGGTAAAATGGTTATTTGTATTTACTCTCATCCTTTTAAATTTCTATTTTTGTGTGTTTTATAATGTACATAATATATTGTACAATTGTACACTTATATAATTTGTAAATAAATAATACATTTATTGGTGCATTATATATTTTTTTCTGATTTCAGTGCATGATCAAAACATTTAGGCAGGCTGCTTTTAGGTACAGTTAGGGTGACATTTATTTTATTTATTTTTTTAATGTTTATTTATTTTTGAGAGAGACGGAGACAGAATGTGAGTGGGTTAGGGGCAGAGCAAGAGGGAGACACAGAATCCGAAGCAGGCTCCAGGCTCCAAGCTGTCAGCACAGACCCTGACACGGGGCTCGAACTCACGAGCTGTGAGATCATGAGCTGAAGTCAGCTGCTCAACCAACTGAGCCACCCAGGCGCCCCTAGATAGGGTAACATTTAAACTAAAATGAAGGTTTGGACTTTTGGCACTCACCGTTTGAGTTCACAGTGTGATGTTACTCTGCTGGAAGAGTTGGCATTCCGTCTAGTACTGTAGGGCCCAGGAGCAAAGTGATACTTTCTGAGATGGAACTGAATAGGTTTGGTGATGGGGTTAATAGATGAGGGAAGGGTTCTAAGCAGATGTCCATGGAATAGAAGTGGGGTAGCTGGAGGCAGAAGTGCTAGGGACGACCTGTTGGGATGTCCAGCAAAGGCTACTGTTAGTGGTTCTGTTAGTGGTCCTGTAATCTGGCTGCTACAAATTAAAGGTGAGTATTGGGAAGGACTGCCCACTCTCTTTTCAGCATGAGGTGGTTCAGCATTAACCTGTCAGGCTGCAGATGCAAAGGGAGCTGTGTTCCTTTATCTTTCCGAACACCTGAGGTTTATACTTTAAAGTCTGGAAAGTGGTAGCAATGCATAACAGAGATGTGAGCAGATTCCATGAAGAGCAACTTCAAACAATTTCCCTGTAGTTTCCAGCCTGGTTCCGGTAGAGGGCGATAGGGCCACAATTTTCAATTAAGCAAAGAAGGGTTTCGCTTGTGGGACTAAACCAAAATTAAATATGTGCTTTGCGATTTATTTTATTTCCACCTTCTAGGATTACCTTCTTCCCCTTTAATTAGTCCTATCTAACCATTGTCTCTCTTACATATGTCTTTTAATACATTATATTAACTTCTCATTTTTCTGGCTGGAAATATTAAGTGCATTTGCAACAAACTCCAGAAGACAATCCATACGTATTCATTGCACTGGAATTGTATTAGATCGTTTGCCTGAGAGAGGTGGAAAATCAGGTAGGACAAAGAAAGCCTTTTATTCTATGAGATTTAAGTTTCGGGGGTGATTGGTGTCAACAACTATGAAGGGTCAGACGCTGTGTGCAAGCTAACAAGTTAACCTGCCACAGTGTCATGGACATTGGCCAAAGACAGGAGAGTCCCAGGTCAGAAGGCTCTCTGGCTGCGTGAGCTTCCTGTTCCTCATCTGCTCCTCTGGTCTTCCAAGTTCCATGGGGGCGATGCCGAGTAGCCCAGGTAGAGGCTGTCACAGCTGAGGAATTTCCAGCTCAGGAAGCCTAGTCTCTTAAAGGGCATGCAAGCAAGGCTGTCCAAGAGGGGAAAACTCTCTCTTCCAAGGTTGTTTCCTACATAAAAAGATAGTCTGGAACAAGAAAGCTCTGTGCCTCCTCTCACAAGGTGTGCAGAAACATGAGATTCCCGTAGAAAATTGTCAAAAG